CCTATAGCCATGTCTGTGGGACATTTTCTTGATTGTTGATGATGTAGGACGTCCCAGCCCAATGTGGGCAGTGCCACCCCAGGCAGGTGGCCCTGGGTTGCATTAGAGAGCAGGCTGAGCACAAGTTAGAAGAGCAAGCCAGCAAGCTGTGTTCCTCCATGGTCTGAACTTTAGTTCCTGCCCTGGGCTTCTGCCTTGGCTCGCATCTGTGATGAGCTGTAAGCTGAAGGCGAATTATACCCTTTCCTCCCCAAGTTGGTTTTGGTCATGGTGTTTATCACAGCAACAGAGGGTAACCAGGGCATAAATTTTGAACAAAATTTGAAGATTGAAAGTACTCATGTAAAATATCATGTAAATAAAATAAGTAAAGCATGTCAAAACAAAAAACAGAAACAAAACAAAAGCAAACAAACGAAAATAGCTTCTGTAGACTATTTCATAGTTATTTCATAGGCCGTGGTTCGGTTCCTGCCTCCAGGCTCCTTCCTTAAGTTCTGGCCTTGACTTCCCTTGATGGACTATGAACTCTGTGCAAAATGAACCCTTTTCTTTCCAAAGTACTTTATAACAGTAATAGAAAAGCTAATAGAAAAGTTAAATGTCATAGGCTCTTGTTTTCTAATCACTCAACAGTGTAGACAAAAGATTTAATATTTTAGTCTCCAGTCTTTATATTTTTCACTGATTTCTCCTCTTAGCAAGGGGGCTCCAGTAATTGCATTTTCTCTGATGCTCAGTTTTGAAGTCAGACTACCACAGCTTACTGTGGATGTACCAGGTTATATAAGCATTGTTTGAGTCTGTAGCTGACATTCACCTGTTTGTATTTCAGAAATCTTTGCCTTCTAAAGCACATACATTTTTCCTTAAGTGGATAGATGGAGAATTTTATGTGTTTGACTTCTCTCATCTCAATTGTAAACACTACACATTATCTCTAAAACAAAGAGTTGTGGGTTTTTGTTTGTTTTTTGTTTTTGTGGCACAGAACCTTTTTCTTCCTGCTTCTCAGATAACTAGGTGGATCCCACGGAGATACAGACCTCCATGCAGGGCATCGTCAAGATGACGCAAGAAGCTCTCGGGTTCTGGGCATTCTGCACACGATCTCATGTTGCTCTGTTGTTTCCTGATATAAGACAATGTGATATTTTAATGTTGACCAGCATGTGCAGTGGAAGGCTGAACTCCAGGAGACCGAGGCAGGAATCATTAGGTGCTCATTCATCTTCCTCCTCCCTCTCAGTTAACTCAATTTTTATTCCAATTTCTTCTCCAAACTTGGCATCTTTCTTCTATGTTAAATAGTAGGATTTTTCACTGATATTCTTTACTGTATAGCTTGAATCACTTGAGGTACTGGGGGTCAAACCAGGACCTCATGCATGCTAGAGCTTTTTCTCAAGCCCTTAAATGTTTTATGTTTCTAAAAAGAGATCTAAAAAAGTATCACATCATGCAGTGTTCCGTTTAGAATAATATGTACCTGAGATTTCAAGAAATAGCTGCTGAAATTTAGGAAATGGGATTGCTTTTAAAATGTTGAACTGGGGGCTGGAGAGGTAGCTCAGTGGTTAAGAGCACTGACTGCTCTTGCAGAGGACCCAGGTTCGATTCTCAGCACCCACATGGTGGCTACAAACTGTCCTTAACTCCAGTTTCAGGGGAATCCGAAGCCCTCTTCTGACCTCCATGGCATTGCATGGCACGGGTGCACTCATATACATGCAGGCAATACACTCATAGACATAAAATAAAAATAATACAATGTTTTTAAAAAAATTTTAAATGTTGAACTCAATTTTAAAATGTTTTATCTCAAAATATTACAATTACAATTATTTTGTAACATACAGTCAAATAATAATCTAAAAGCCTTTTGCTGATAGAAGAATAATTCCTTTTTTAATTAATAAGCAATTATGCATGTTTGCAACTGTTTCATACATTCTTGGTCCTTATATAACAATAATATATTCATGTATATGTGAATTATATACATAAGTTATCTCATTAAAGTATTAAGTATAAGTATTAAGTATAAGTTATCTCATTAAAATTTTACTGGAGAGGTTAAAATAGGACAGTAGTGATATTACAAAGAAGTTCAATAACATTTTTAGAAGACTTTTTATATCAGATATAATTATTATATATTATATACGTGGGGGATTACGAGAAAGACTTTGGGTATTCTTTGATTCAAATCCTGGCTGCCATATGACTAGTTTGGTAAAGTCCTTATGTTTTACCCTGAAAAATTAGATTAAAAACAGTATCTGACCTTATGATTACTATAAATGTAAAGGTAACGAAGCTTATAATATGTTTACTCAGTTCCTGAACTATAGTAAATACCTAATAAATATTAGCTCTCTTAATTATATGGTCCTTACAACAGTTTTGTGAGTAGGCAAGAAACTAATTCTTATTCCTATTTTATATGGAGATGGAGGCTCCAAGATATTTTTTTATGGCATTCCCCAACAACATAACGCTGTGATATGTGTAACAGAGTGAAGACAGGAAAAAAGGGGGCGGAGTGCGGCTGTAGTTTCTTAATGGAAGCGAGAAATTAACTCATAACAATGGAAATAGACTTGACATAGGCAGATACGGATGTGATGTGATGATTTTTTTTGCCATATCAGGGATAAACGCAGACCTCATGCACACTAATCAGGCATTCTACCACCACCGAATTACATCTAGTCTACAGCTATGTTTTTTCCTCCAACTTGAACAAAGTGTGATTGGTAATTTGTTCATTAGCTTGAACAATAAGATTATATTTTCCCAAGTACTTTTTATCCTTTTCTATAGGGTCATTTATGTTAATATGTGGCTTGCAGTTTTTATCTTTTCTAATTTTAAAAAATATTTTATTTGTTATTTCCATTTTACATATGAGTGTATTGCCTGCATGCATGTGAGCGCACCCGTGTCTGTGCAATGCTGCAGAGGTCAGAAGAGGGCTTCGGATTCCCCTGGATTGGAGTCAAGGATGGTTTGTAGCTGCCATGTGGGTGCTGGGAATTGAACCCGGGTTCTCTGCAAGAGCAATCAGTGCTCTTAACTGCTGAGCCATCTCTCCAGCCCCCTTTTTCTAATTTTTAATGAATTCACTCTTCAAAAATCATTACTTTACACATTTTCTCTTAGAAATGCTCGGTGTGGACAACTGTTTTCACTGGAGTTACAGAACTCTATAGACACAAAGCCTGGCTTTATGGAACTGCTTGTCCAGCAAAGAAAATAAACATGTAAACTAATAAACTTCTTCCTTTGAGATAAATGCAACAAAAGCGGGCTTGAGCAGCCCACAGAGGACTAGGGGAGAAATGGACTATTTTTTCAGGTTCTAAAGATGGTTATTGAAAGAAATGGTGTCTGAGCTGGATGTTTGAGGGCAAACTGGAATTTATTAGGTAAAACCTGTGAACTTTGTACTAACTAGCCTACTTCTGTTTTTCAGACACTGTACACAGTATGTCTTCTTGTTCACTAAAGTACTTTTTTCACATGCATTCAGAATTGCTAAAATAAATACCTAGTTTCTCAGAGCTTTTCTAGTTCATACCTTCAAACTGAATGTAATTTCAAAATTACCATACTGTCTCATACTCTCAACTGTATTAAGAACTACAATACAAAAAATTTTCTTATGAATAATTTTGTTTTGGAAGTATCTTCTTTGAAATGTTTGAATTAATGTTGATACATTTTAAGCATTTTGGAAGACTAGTTGAAAAAGTATAATAGAATCGCTTGGGATTAAAATCTACTGGTTTACTTTTAAGAAAATGTCTATAATAAAATATGGTTACATTGTGATAGAGTTCAGCAATCCCCAAAGGTTGTACTATTTAGGAAAGACTGTAAGTTAACTGTCACTTAGTCATCTTATTACTTTGTTATCCATGTTTTATTGTGCTATATGAATGGACATAATTGCACTTTTCTTTTAATGTAGCAATCAGTATTTACTCTTAAAAAGTCACAGGATTATTTGGATTCTTTTGTTTGAAAGCATTTGTGTTCTAGGTAGATTGAAAATTTACTAGCTCAACTTCTTTTAAAATATGAATATCTCAGTCATAGGTCCATGTATTGTTTCTCAAGAGATTGAAATTTAGGTCAAATTAAAACTCGAATTTACCTTTAGTATAGAAAATACTAGTGTGCCATTTTTAAAAGCTACATTCTAACTTTCAAGCACACTAGATCAAAGTACTGCATATTTAAATAAATCCTTTGGAATGAAGGCTCAATTATTTTTTCCCAAAACTTTTTTTCTCTGTGTACATGCACGTGCACGTTTGTGTGCAGATATGCATGCATGTGTGTGTGTGTGTGTGTGTGTGTGTATGTGTGCACATGTGTGCATGTGGAGGCCAGAGGCCAATCTTGGTGGTGTTCCTCAGGAGCCATTCGTCTTAGTTTTTGAGACAGGGCATCTCACTGCTAACCTGTAGCTTGCTGATTAGGCTGGGCTGCCTGGCCCAGGGAGCCTCATCTGTTATTGCCTACCCCCCCGCAAGCACTGGGATTACAAATGTGTGCCACCATCCTCAGCTTTGTATGTGGGTGCTGGAGGTCAAACTTGTGTTTGTACAGCGGCACTTTACCCACTGAGCCATCTTCCCAGCCTCAGCCCACATCAAACATCAAAGCTTTCTTAGTCACTGTTTTTTTTTTTTTCTTTTGATATTTTTGAGACAGGGTCTCCCAGTAGCTCCAGGTGGCCTGAAACTTGCTGTGTAGACTAGGCTGGCCTCAAATTCATAGATCCACCTGCCTTTGCTGGGATTAAAGGCATGCACCACCACTCCCAGCTAGTCACTGTTTTTAATATAAAATATTTTTAGCTTTATTTTCCAGAAAGATAGAAAGTTGTTTATTATAAAATTTAATTGTCTTTGCTTTTAAATTACAGAAATTCTGTTTTGGGGACAACTTTATTTGAACCGTATGTGACATTATTTTTATTTCTTAAGGCTATGATTAAAAGTTTCATGGATGTCTACCAGCTTGCAAGTACTAGAATCTCTACATTAGAGAAGGAAATGACATCTCATCAAAGTCACATTGCAACTTTGAAATCAGAGCTCCATACAGCTTGTTTAAGAGAAAATGAAAGTTTACAATCAGTAAGTCCTATGCTATAACAGGTTTCTCTTCTTTGGGTCTTGGGTCACATTTACATTTATGTTTTTATTGGTCATAAAATCATTTGCCAATATGTATAATTTAGGATAATCAGTCAAGCAACATACAATTAATGTGGAGAAACGTTTGAGAGGAAAAAAAGCAGTTAATTTTTCTACTGTATCATTTGCAAAGACATACATAATGCTGTCAAGCTACCACATGTGTCAGGATTCCTTTGTATTTGGTAGTGTAGCTGACAGTTGGGTTTGGCAGTATGTGTAGTTAAAACTTACAAGTGTCTGAAGATTCAATCCACCCCATTAAGACAGAATATTATTAATTATATGTATAACCAAAATGGTAATTAGAACATGTGATTATTCTCTGTAGAAAACTAGACTTATCCATAATACATGCCTCACTAAAGATGCATGTTTTGATTCATCTATATGATTAAAATTCTGTTTTAGCACTCATCTTATGTCTTAAAATTTTAGCCATGATGAAATTTGGGCTCCTTTAAAACTGAAAAAAAAATTCTACAGTTTGGATACGTGTTTGTGGAGTTTTCAAAAGTGAATATATTTGCAGTATAAAGGAAAAAAACAACATTCAGAGAGTTATCCGTTATGAGAGTGTATGTTTTCCTTTTTGATTTGGTTACAAAGGTTCAGGGTGACCTGTAAGTAAAAGCTATAATTTTTCCATTCAGCTACTCACCCATTTCAAATGATAACACTGAATGGAAAAGGAGTTGGTTAACCTGGCTGACTCCAAATGGATGCAGAGTTGTGGCTTGGTTCTTTGCCTCCTTCCAGACTTAGCTAAATTGCCAACTTTCCAGTGAAGCCTCTGGAGCCATGATAGAATTACGGTTGTCTTACCCGGCTCCTTATCTCACCTTTCTCGGCCTCTCTTTTGGCCCACATTGCCTACCTCTATCTTCTACCTATCTTGTGTTATTATTTTCACCATAGGCCTTGTCATCCACAAACTTATGGCACATTTTATTTATTTGCTTATTGTCTGGTTGATTATTACCATCAGTGGAGCACCAGATGAGCTCTACAATACAAGCACTTTTGAAGGTATTCTTCATTGCCATGAAGGCAACCCGGGGCCAAGTGCAGCATGGGCACAGTGGTGTTAATTAATGTCTATGAATGAAAAATTATTATCACTTTATCAAATAAGTGTGTAAAGCTAGTTACATGGGACCTAGGATGTCAGTTCAATTTTCTATGCCTTTATTAATTTCTTTTACTAAAAATTTTTATTGAAAGTTTGCAGTTTTCATACAATATAATTTGTTGGTATTTAGATCCCCTCTCCCCACCTGCACCTCCCCCTCTGGTCCCCTTCCCAATTCAATATATTCCACTATCTATACATTACGGTCTTTAGAGTCTAACTTGTGTCCCCACCTGTCCCTCAGCTAGGTTCATCCACTGGATGAACCAGTCATCCAGTGACCATCAGCCTGGTCAACCAACCAAAAGTCCTGTTGATATAAGAAACTGTTTCTTCCCCTTCCAGTAGCCATCAGTTGCCAAAAGTTCCTTATACTGGTTGGGATTTCTTACTCATTTCCCCATGTCTATGCTGGGATTTTTTTCTGATTTGAGCTTGCATGGAACTTGTGAATGCTGTCACTATTTCAGTGAGTTCATATGTATAACTGACCAGCTGTCTGGAAGACTGGTTCCTTGTGGCCATCCACTACCTCTGTGTCTTACAATCATTCTGCCTCCTCTTTCACAATAATCCCTGAGGTTTGGCAGGTAGAAGTTTGAAATGGGTGTCCTATTAAGGGAGGAGGAGCACTCTGCAATCTCTTGTTTTTTGCACATTGACCAGTAGGGGTTTCTGTGTTAATCACCATCTGCTGCATAAAGAAGCCTTTATGCTGAGAGCTGAGAGATGTAGTCATCTTATGTGTAGAGGTTACATTGAAGACTTATCTCTTAGGGCTGAGCTTTTCACAGACTAATTCTCTGCACTTGACCAGTTATGGAACTTGGTATTAATTTCCAGTTGTTGCAAAAAGAAGCTTTTTTGATGAGTGGTGGCGAAGCACACTTGTATCTAAGGATTTGGAGCTAAGATTCATGAATGAGAGAGAACATATGTCACTTGTTTTTTTGAGTCTTTGTTACTTCAATTAGTATAACAGTTTCTAGTTCCAGACATTTCCTGAAAATTTCATTTTTTTTTGTCTTTTTTACTGCTAAGTAGAACTCCATTATGTACCACATTTTCATGACCCATTCAGCAGCTGAGAGGCGTTTAAGTTTCTTCCGTTTCTTAGCTATTGTGAAAAAAGCAGCAGTAAGCATGGCTGTAGTAGATACTGTAGACACTGTAGTATCTCTGTAATAGGAGGAGTCTGTTGGGTATATGCCAAGAAGATCATAGGGTATATTTATTTTTAGTCTTTTAAAAGTTCTCTAGCCAGGCATGGTAGCACATGCCTTTAATCCCAGCACTTGGGAGGCAGAGGCAGGCAGATCTCTGCGAGTTCAAGGCCAGCCCGGTCTACTTAGTGAGTTCCAGGACAGCTGGGGCTACAGAGTGACTCTGCCTCAAAAAGACCAAAAAAAAAAAAAAGCCCTCTATACTGATTTTCACAGTGGTTGCACTAGTTTGCAATCCCACCAACAGTGAATGAGTGTTCTGCCTTCCCCGCATCCATGCCAGCATTTGGTGTCATTTGTTCTCTTAATCTTAGCCATCTGACTGACATTAGAGGAAATCTTAAAGTGGTTTTGATTTGCATTTCCCTAATTACTAAAGTTGTTGAACACTTTTTAAGGTGTATCTTAGCCATTGTTACTTCTTCCTTTGAGTGCTCTCTGTTCAGATCCATAGCCCATTTTTTAATTGGGTTATTTGTTTCCTCACTTCTCTGTTTTTTGAGTTCTTTGTATATTCTGGATATTAATCCTCTGGTGAATGAGTAACTTGTAAGGATTTTCTCCCACTCTGTAGGCTTCCTCTTCACACAACTGGTTATTTCCTTTGCTAACAGCTTTTTAGTTTAATGAGGTCCCATTTGTAAATTGTTGACCTTAATTCTTGAGTGACTGATGTCCAATTTGGAAAGTCCTTTTATGTACCTATATCTTGTAGGGTACACTTTATGTATTATTCTAACAGTTTCCGTATTTTAGGCTTGACACTGAGGTCTTTGATCTATTTGAATTGACTTTTGTGCAGGGTGATAAGGTACATGACGGTCTAGTTTCATTCTTCTTCATGTGGAAATCCAACTTTGCCAGCACCATTTGCTGAAGATTCTGTGTTCCTCCCATGTGTCTTCTGGGCATCTTTGTCAAATATCAGGTGTCTGTAATCGTGTGCACTCATGTTTGGGTCTTCTGTTTTCTTCCATTGATCTACAAGTCTGTTTTTGTGCCAATACCATTTCATTTTTTTGATTATGGTTCTGTAGTATAGACTGAGGTATTTTATGGTGTATTAGTTACTTTTCTGTTGCTATGATAGAAACACTGACCAAAGCGGCTTATAGAAGGAGGAGTTTATTTGAATTTACAGTTCCAATGGAATTACAGTCCATCATGGTGGGGGCGGGGCATTTTGGCAGGAGGTGGATGGAGCAGGAGCAGAAAACAGAGGCTCACATCTTCAAGCAGGCACAGGACACAAGAAAGTGATTTTAGTTCCAGCAAGGCTTAAGAACTCTCTTAGTCCACCCATAGTTACGTGTTTCTTACAGCATGGCCACACCTTCTAGGACCTCTCAAAACAACACCAACTGGGGAAAAATGCTCAAATATTTGGAGCCTATGGGAGACATTCTCATTCAAACTGCCACATGTGGTAATCCCCCAGCATTGCTCTTTGTGCTCAGGATTTCTTTGGATATCTAGAGCCTTTTGTGTTTCCATATGAGTTTTAGGATGGATTCTTCTATTTCTGTGAAGAATGTTACAGTGATTTTCATTGGGATTGCATTGAATCTGTAAATGGCTTTTGGCAGGATGGTCATTTTCACTATATTAATTCTACCAATCCATGGGTATGGAACTTTTTTGTCTTTTTCTGTCTCCTTCAATCTATTTCTTCAATGATTTTAAAGTTTTCATTGAATAGATCTTTAATGTCTTTGGTTAGGTGTATCCCTAGGTATTGTTTTGAGGCTATTGTGAATGGGAGTGTTTCCCTTAATTCTTTGATTGCTTGTTATTTTTATATAGAAAGACCACTGAATTTTTTGTAGATTGATTTTGCAACCTGACACTTTGCTGAAAGTGTTTATTTCTAAAAGTTTTCTGGTGAAAACTTTAGGATATCTTATATATAATATCAGATCATCTGGAAGTAGGAATAATTTGATGTCTTCTTTTCCAATTTATACCCCTTTAATTTCCTTCCCTTGTCTTATTGCTCCAGCTAAAATTTCAAGCACTATATTGAAAAGGAGTTGTGCTAACAGACAACCTCATCTGGTTCCTGATTAATGGGAATGCTTCATTGTTTTCTTTATTTAGAATGATGTTGGCCATGGGTTTCTTGTATATAGCTTTAATTACATTGAGGTATGTTCCTTCCAGTCCATTTCCTTCTAGGACTTTTATCATGAATACATGCTGAATTTTAGCAAAAGCCTTTTCTACATCTATTCAGATGATCATGTGATTTTTGTCCTTTAAGTCCATTTATGTGACTTATTTCATTTATTGGCATATGTATATTGAACCATCCTTGCATCTCTGTAATAAAGGCTGCATGATCACTGTGGATGATCTCTTGGTGTGTATTTGTATATAATTTGCAAATGCTTTGTTGAGAATTTTTGCATCGATGTTTATCAGGGATATGGGCCTGCAACATTTTTTTATGTGTGTCTCTTCCTGATTTTGGCATTAGAGTAATATCGGTGTCATAGAAGGAGTTTAAGAGTTCGCTTTCTGTTTTTATCTTTTTGAATAATTTAAGTAGTATTGGTTGTAGATCTTTTTTGATGGTCTGTTAAAAT